GAGACCGGTCCAGGTCTCAAAAAGGTTGCCTGTCCCTGATGTAAACACTTGCCCATCACCATGCTAGCCCAGGGACAGACCAGATCAAAAACAGGGGCAGGATACCACTGGCTTGACCAAAATAAAGTGTTCCTATATTAGTCAAGTAAGCCTTTTGGAAAGCAAACTAATTATGCACTAGAGCGTTCTGCTGTATGACAGCAAGTAACTTTCTTGACTAACAAAACACAACAATCTAATTTGAATAACACCAAACCCAAATGAAAAAAAATTCAGGAAAAAGGTTATAGCTATAATAAATCCTTCAGTGATTATTCTACATGCAAAACCTATTTGACAGTTACTGTAGCCCATATCTTGAAGGTAACACCATATGCCACAGAAAGTGATCAAGCTTAGAGGGGAGCAGTTAAAGGAGTGTATAAAAGTGACAGAGGAAAAGCTAAAAGAGAAATAATGCATCAGGCACAGTGTTAATTATCTTTTTAATGTTCCATTGAGTGATGGGGTTGAGGAAAGAACTGAAGGAATACAGAAACAGTCATCTTATTTTATGAGCTAGTCAGAGTCACTTAATCAAGGGTGGAATAGACAATAACAGAAATAGCAGAAGAACGCTGTCTCCATACCTGAGGTTTACAAAAATGAGTTAAAAGCTAACTGCTGATTTGATGTGAGCCATCCTAACAATACTAGCCCAGTTCTGTCTTTGGATTCAAGAATATCTCAAAGTTTGTGCTAATGAGTTCTGAGAAACTGTTGCAGGCAGCAATGCCATCATGTCATTTTGTGTGTGTGTGTGTGTGTGTGTGTATAACAGGACTGTGAGAATAGCCAGAATAAAGGTATAGCAAAATACCATGAAATTTGGTATTTAAGAATTACATCAAAAGACAGTAGCATAGCCAGAATACACCCACAATGAATTAAACTAGTTTTATCGCACTATATGTGATACAGATGCAGTGGCTCAAGTGGTTAAGACGCTCTATTGATTGGCAGTTTGCGGCCCAGGTACTGCATGATGGGGTGAGCTCCTGTCACTAGTCCCAGCTTCTGCCCACCTAGCAGCTCAAAAGCATGCAAATGCAAAATAAATAGGTACCACTTTGGTGGGAGGGTAAACAGCATTCTGTGCGATCATGCTGGCCACATGATCACAGAGTAGTCTCTGAAAATGCTGGCTCTTCGGTTTAGTAATGGAGATAAGCACTGCTCCCTATGGTCGAACACAACTTGACAACCTTTAACTTTTATGTGATAGAGGAATCATATTCACCCTGTAGTTTAACATGTGTAACTGAAACAACTGTGGTAGAATTCAAAGACATAGCTGTGTTAGTCTATATCAGTACGCCAAAGGGTATTGTAGCACCTTTGAGATTGAGAGTGACATAAGCCATCCTCTGATCAGTAATGCCCTTCAACACTCTACATTGGGCAAATAGACCAGTCTCAGCACCAGAGGATAAATGGACATAAATCAGACATTAGGCATAAATAAACAAAAACCATTTACAGAACACTTCAGTCTTCCTGGGTATTCCATTTTGGATGTCAGAACAAGAGTTCTTGAACAAAAATACTAGAAATATTGAAAAGATAAAGGGCAAAATTGGAATATATCTACAAACTCCACTCCACAAAC